CAAGCATTTTCATCATTGACAATAATTGTAAATCTGTTCGAATAAAAGATATTGGGCGACGTTGAGGATATAAATGGAATGAAGCGTGGGTATTTGTACCTAAAAATGAGGAATTGAAAGTAATTTTTTGTTAAAAAGTCTAGACTTCAATACAAGATACACCTTTGAGGACTATAATTAACTGTATTCCCCACCCGATGGCCGACCAAATTAAAAAACGTATCCCCCACACTTAAGAGGTGTATCTTTAGTTATATCTTGTAATGAGGCCCAACTATATTATTTACCAATAACGGCATGATGTTTTGCAAAACGTGCCATATTTGATAATTTTGTTTTTGATGAACCTATTGAAAGCTTTAGAAAGAAAGAATGTCTAAATTTAAATTTAAACAAATTAACCATAGACTTCATTTCTTCAGCACTAACAATTCTCATATCATCTCGGAATATACGCCAAGATGTTTTTGCAAGAGCTCGGTTTTCTCTAGAAAATAAAGGAAAAATAAAAATAATTATTGAAGTCCGGAATTCGAAAAATAATTCAAAAAGAAAACTAACAAAACTCTGAAGAATATAAATCCAGCCCCAACACCCAAAAGGGCCACCAAAGCCAAAATACCAATAACAATCATTAAAGTATAATCACAACGTTCATTTCTAAAACCACAAGCTGGCTCGTCTGGGGGTAAATGACTAAAAAATGGAAATTAAATAGAAGTAATTAATAATCCCCCTTTATCCCTACCCATCAGTGGAAGGCCAAAAACCAGTCAAAAGATCAGTAATCCTCAATTCAAAACAGCCACTTTTATTTATTACACCATCACAATTAGGTGTTGGAATTGGATTCATTTCAACCATTTTCATTACATCATCACGGTTTGGGGCAACATAAAATGCTTAAAAAAGGTTTTTTGAGATATGAACCGTCATTATTTTTAAAAAAATATAAGAATAACTATAGCTATGCTGACACATATTGGGTCTGAAAATACAATGCTCAGGAGTTGGAAAAAGACCAGGGAAATGATATCCGGAAGACAATAAGAGTAAACGAGAATAAGGAATTGAGGTGTCAGTTAATATGGCACCCAATTTAGACATAAGTAGAAGAGCTCTTGCAAATTGAATATTCGATAGAATAATTTTCGAATTCAATCTTGGCATTTTTCCAGTCTCAACTTTATACCAAGGTTTGATTGTAGGTATTCTTATATTCAGTTATGTATGTATTTTTATTATTATTCAAGTTATGCTTAATTAATATCTTTAATTTTTACCAGCATAAATAGCAGCTCTTTCAGCTAAATCATCCATAAAAACCTTTTAAAAATAATTTAAAATTATTTAATGTTAATTTAAAAATGAGAAGAAGGAGAAAAAACACATTTTTATTTAAAATATTTACATCTGCAGAACGAAGATGAGAGGAAGTTACCTGTCCCGAAGAGACGCCTTCAGCACTGACAAGTCCTTTGAAAAATATTTTTTTGTCAAAAATAAATAATTTTTAATAAGGGGAAGTATACACATACATATGTAGATGATCAAACATCTCTATTAACAAAATGTTTGGGTTCTTCCTTTGAATTTTTCCAAATCAAAGAGGAGAGGGTTAATATAATTATACAACATATAACTGCCAAATGAATCTTTGGCCTACTCCTCTATGAAATAATAAAAGATGACTAGAGCCTGAAGGATTGGTTTCTTTAGCTAAAAGGTGAGGGAAAATGATTGTAACCTAAGGAAACCCAAAAATAAATTCCTAATCACCGAAAACAAAATTCAAAAAATATTTAAATTTACCAGGGAAGGTCATTCTTCGCATTTTATTCCACAAATAACGTCCATCAGTCGTTACATTTGGATTTCCATTAGTTTCATTTAAAGCAATTCTGGCAGCCAAAGAATAAAGTTTTAGAGCATCATATAAATGGATATAACCATAAATATTTTGCTTTAAATTAATTTAAGATTCTAATTAAAATTTATTCAAGTACCAAATTTAAATCTTCTACAGACATTCCATTAGATTCAACTCTTTCTTTAAATGGTGTTAATATTGTATTGTCAAATCCATTTACATCATCAATCTTTAAAAAACAACTGTTTATTTATACATTAGAATCACGCCTAGTATTTTATTTTAAGCGTACAAATTCAAGTTTAGTTTATTTTAGTAGGGAGAGATGATTATGTAATACCTCAACATTAACTTACAAATCATTTTAGTGTAATTAGGGTTGAGGTTTTCGAGTCGGGCCGACGTTCGACTCATTTTTATCGAGTAAGGCATCAGTCTTTTTCGGGCTAAAATTCAATGCCCGACTCGATCATTCGGACCGGGCCGGATTTTGCACCCAACCCTAACAAATAAGTGTGATACCACTTCTGGGATGTAAAGGGGGTTTTTCTTTAAACTGACCAAGACTGGGTCTTCAGAACTAAAACCTATGATAAATATTAACTTTACGGACTAATATACCCAAATACAAACTCTCTAAAATATTTAATCTTCAATTAGAAAACACAAACAATAATCGATCCAGTAAAGAATTCTTTAACATTTTGGACCATTTGTCCATCAGCCCCAATCCACGGAGAAGCATCTTTAGCCTCAGCTTGTAGCCAAGGTAATATATAAACATATTCGTGTGTTTTAAGTCCAGAAAGGCTAACAGCTTGCATAAATTCTTTTGTGGATTCCCGGGTAGAAGAAAATAAACAAATAACAACTTTTTTTGTTTTAATTAAAACTTTAATTTTATTTAATTTAGTTACTTCTAGCTGAATTTCTCAAATCCTCCAAATAACCACTTGCCATCATTCCTTTTGAATCAACATTTTCTTCAAACATTAATTTCTTTAAAAATATTAAATTAAAGGACTAAATTTTGAACAGTTAAATCCTCTAAATATCTTAAAATGAGGATAATTTTTAATTTAGATATCTATTATTGTGGGATATATTTTTAATTCCAGTTTTTGTTCACATGAACTGAGTGATTTTTACAATTTTTTAGAATTATTCTCAATTGTGATAACTACCTATCTCTTTTATTAACCAAATGATAATTCCTTCTACCTTAACTACAGTAATCTTTCTTGCATGAAAAATTTCTTCAAAAGCTTGTGTCCTTTCAAAAGCCATTGGACCTGTATTTGTAGCAATTGCAACCTTTAATTAAATATTCCCTCTTTCATTATTCACAAAAACACTTACTCTATTCCAACCATAATGACGAATTAATGAATAAACAGCTAATGCTAGCTATAATTTAAATATTAAAGTATATTTATGTAGGAATAACCGAATTAGTTGTTCGAAGCGAAACACGTGCCAAAGTTTTGTAAATTGTTTTGTCAGAGAAAACATTACTTTAAATTAATTTAAATTTGTTTTAATTTTCCCTTTAACTCAAATTTCAGTATAAGATACTCAAGGTTGAATAATTACAATCTTATAATGAGGTGTATATTAAATAGTGGGGGGGGGGGGGGAGTGAGAGGAGGTAATTTCTAAGGTAGCTCTCCCTCCACCTACTGACCAAACAACTCTTGAAGACGTATCATAAATTGAGAGTATCTCTAGTACTGGATGTACCCCATAATGAAGTCCCCCTCTAATTTTCAAAAAACCTACCTAGCAGCCATATATCCAATTATTGGAACATTCCTTCAAAAATACTTTGAAAAAATATTTTCTAACTTAAAAAATAACCAAAAAGCAGCCATTTTACTAACTGCATCCATTTCTGCATTACAATAAGGGCCAATAAATGCTTTAACATTTTGTTGATGGTACATATCTGCACCAACAGCAACCCCTTCAAAACTTTCCCCGCATCCCATTTGAGAGATTATTCTTTAAGAAAAAAAATGTTTTTTTGTAAAAATAACGGAGAATATTTTTTTGGAAATCATTACCTGTCTAGCTGTGCGCAAAAATGAAATTTTGAGTTTTGGCGTTTTTAAAAAATGTTTTGGCGCACAGCTAGACTACCAGTAAGATAATTAAATATTACCTAAATCTGGTAAAAGATTTCCTACTGAACAACTGTATATATTGACTAACTATCAACTGAACAATAAATATTAATACCTATGAAAAGTCTTCAATCAAGAAGGTTATTTTCGAGTTATTTTCCTTCCTACTAGAATCTCTCAACTTCAATTTCACCCCAATTTAAACACACTTAATTCAACAACCATTGTATCAGTTATAATCAGTACATATCAGTCCCCAGTATAAAATATAATCAGTACACAAACTCAATATCGAAATCCTCGTTTAAAACGCCTTCCTTCCACAATTCCTTGCGGCAAACCTCCAAAATTTGTTCAGCTTTCGGCATTACATTAATTGCTCCAATGTGCCCGACACGCACTTTGATTCCGCTTTAATGAATTTGACAAAAAAATTTAAAAAAGAATTTTTGTTTTTTAGACAAAAATTGAACAAGTTAGATAAAAAAACATTTTAGAAGGAATTTTGGCAATTTTGAACTTTGTGACAAAAATCAAGTGCATGATAAAGATTTCGATGCATGGCTCAAAGGAGATTGAACTTCCCATGGAAGACGAATCTATCGTAAATGTAGAGGTAAACTAAGAATTATTGAGGTGACAAAGATATGGAGGATAGTAATTACAACAAATTATTTATCTCCTATTCGTATACATATGCCATAAGGAAATGTTCAACAATTATGCGATTTTTGAAAAAAGAATACCAAGTCAGAAAGTTCAAAATTACCGGAATATTTTAAATACCTAAAATTCGGACTATTCATAAATGCTAGTGAGCGTGTAGTACTTGATGATGTTGAAGAATCATTTCCCTTAATTTAAATTACTCGTTAGATTTCGAGGCGGGCCGACGTTCTAGGTAACCTTTCTTACTGAAACGGGTCATATTTTTTTCGAGATCAAGTCGGATCATTATGGGTGCTATTAGTTATCTTTATTTGAGGAAAGATTAGATACTCCTCTATTTATTCAAACGTCCAAATATGTATTTTGTGATTAGTAAATTTTGTTTTGATTCCCAAAAGGAGAACCAAGATCCTCTCACCGTCCCAATCTATTTTTAATAAAAAATGTGTTTTCTGTCCCAAACACTTTACTTTCTGTCCAGACATTAACTGTCCAGTTCCAACAGTTGCACTTTTTACTTGATGTACAGTTGTAGCTGTTGTCCGAGTAGTTGTCGAATCCTCAACAACTTCGAGTTGAACATTGCCAAAAAACAACAGAAAAACAGCAACAATTCCATAAAAGAACGAGAACATTAAACTAAACCTATATTAAATGTTCTATAAATTGTGTTAAAAAGAGGCCAGAAGCAAATAAGCAAGTAAAGGGAGTGTGAAGAAAGTGAAAAAATATTAAAAACAAAAAAATATTTAGACTGACAAAACTCCTCATCTCATTTTTAAATATTTACAGTAATTTATCTTCTTGTTGAGGATTAAAAGAGCCGGGAAAGATAAAATAAAACAATTAAACTAATTGAAGAGAAATGAATTATTTAAATTAATTTAAAAGTAGATAATAAGGGATTTTGATTGAAGATAAAGCACTTTTCAGTAAAAAAATATTTAAAAGATTTAAAAAAGTAGGGGGGAATGCAAATCTTCTTTAAAAGTGTAAGAATATTTTTAATTTCTTTTATTCTGTAAAATTATTTTTTAATCAAAATAATAGAGAAAACATGAAATTTTTGTCAAAATTTTTAAAATTAAATAAATGGAGTGAATAAGAAATTTAATGAATTTTATATTTTTTAATAAAAAAGTTCAATTTCTTTTCTTTATAAACACTTGACAGTAGGCGATTGAAAACAGAGAAACAATATGATTTCCGGATCAGACGTGGGCGAAACGTTTCGTTTCGTTTCGTTGTTTCGTATGTTTCGTATGATTTTTACTGTTTCGTCTCGTTTCGTTACGAAACACTTTTAAATTTGTTTCGTTTCGTTTCGTTACGAAACACCTGTGATTTTTCAACGAAACGAAACAATTTTTTAAGCCTAAACTAAGGCCAAAATCTATAAAATTTACCATCTTTTATTGAAAATTTAAAAAATTTTCGCCTGCGGCGCTGAAAAAAAAAGAATTTCGGCTTCTTGGCTTTCCCAAATTGTCAAAATTTTCGCCTGCGGCGCTGAAAAAGGAAGATAGCAATTACTTATATACTACAAATCCGTTTATACTCCACTCCCTAATCCACATATACATATTACTTAATCGACGACAAATTCTATTACCGGACTCGCATCATAATTTAAAAATTGCGGATTGCGAGTTGCGGAAATACTGGAACCGGAACTTCCGGCGAAGCACTAGCTTATATCGCCTTCCTCTCGAAATGGAGATATGGAGACAATTTGGGTAGGCAATGGAGCAAGATGGTGAATTTTTTGGCCTACGGCCTTTCAAAATTTTAAAATTTTTCGTCTGCGGCGCTTAAAATAAAATTTTACTTGAAAAATATTCAATTTTATTTAAAAAAAAGCGTCGCCAAAAATTTGGCTTCGAAAATGATTGACCCCCCCCCCTTCCCCGAAAATTTTCCTTGCTACGGGCCTGGCTTATGGGACACAATTGTTGTAAATAAACCAATAACTAAATCATTTATAAGTCATAGTCGACTAATAACGTATTTGAGGTCGAATAATTTCGAAATAAATGCAGTTTTGAAAATTTTTTGAATATTAAAATGTTTCGTTTTGTTTCGTTTCGTTTCGTAAGATTTTGGTTGTTTCGTTTCGTTTCGTTAACGAAACGATTTTTAAAAAATTTTGTTTCGTTTCGTTTCGTCAGAAAAAAATTTTGAGTTTCGCCCAGGTCTGTTCCGGATGGAACTGAGGGACTAAACGGAAAAACACAAAAAACTGTGTTCTATTCTAGGCATTCAATCCGGGAAGAGGCTATTGTGACTTATAAGGTGGTTTTATTTTTGGACCGATTTGGTTCGAAATTTACAAAAAAAAATTGTCCAATTTAATTATCAAATATTTTATTTCTACCAAAATGAAAACATATTTTGAAAAATATCTCATAAAAACAATTAACCAAACATAATTCGAAATTAAATTATTTTTTTAAGTCAAAAGAAATTATTTTGTAAAACCATAAATTTTATAAATTTAAAAAATTATTTAATTTTAAAAATAAACAGCTTTTAACAAAAACAAATTTATTTTATGGTTTTACCAAAACAAAATTAAAATAAGTTGTCATCTTCTCCCTTAATTTATTTATTCTTTAATTAGTCCCCCTCCTCTCTTCTCTAATTATTCTGACTCGTCCCCGGATTGTCATTTCCTTCTTCCCCTTCAATTCGATTACCAAAATCATTTCCAAAAATTTTGTTAAGCAAATTATTGGCCATCGAATATAATTTAGGCATTCCACCAAAAAGGTAGACAAACAAAAGAAAAACAACAGTCCCACAAATTGAAGGAATTCCAAAGAACAACAATCCAAAGAAGAAAGTTGGCACCAAAACAAAAGCTAAGCCAACGAGAAAAGGCGACATAACTGTCAGAATTGGAAGAAGCAAAGCAATGCCGAGAGCAATAACTGGCGGTCTAGTCAAACCTATAAAATACAAAATTTTGCAACTCTAACCATTTTGATTTAAAGTTTTTTCAAGAGAAGGCTTTGTAGATTGGACAGTAAAGGAAGGTAGTGAGAAGAAACGAAAAAGGATATCCCTTTCCATTCCCAAGAAAATCTTACATCCGGTTACATAATTTAAACACGAAAAAAGTTTTTGGAGGAATAACCAAATAAGGAATTGAAACAGTCGGCTAATTCTTTCTGAATCTACTAATTCTTTAATTCTTTCAAAATACCAATAAATTTTTTAATAAAAATTTCTTTAAACCTTTTCGTTGAGCAACAGTATAAGCATTCGAAGTCATGTCTTTCAAACCATAAATCAAACGCCATGCCAAATATGTAATTCCATAATCAGCAGAATACACCGCATTTGATATACGTCCAAGCGTTTGGTCATTCGTCTCAGCAGATCCTCGCATACGGTTTAAGGCAGAAACAGTCTGAAAAAAAATTAAAATTAGTAGGGAAATTTAATGTTTTTAAAGAGTTTATACTCGGTTTATAAGATTCCATTTTAAGCCCCAAGGTTCGACAGTACTTAATTGTTTTTACCTTCTGAACAGGACCCGTCTCGCCAAGCCGCTTGAGCTTCCCACCAACGTACTCAGCATGCTTATCTGCGGCATTTGCAGCCATCGCATTAGAGTCCATAGTACGATCCTTTCCCTGTTGCCCATCAACCTTTTGCATATTCTCTTTGGGTGTTTGGATACCTGTTTAAATTTATGAACTTATTGAAAGAACTGGAATAGAATTTGTGAAGAATATTTACAATTTGCTTATATGAATAGGTTCAAACACAAGAGAAAAGAGGAGGAGTCGCTTATTTATGTTTATTTTTGTCTAGTAATAACAGCCTTCATTTTCATGATAAGCAAACTTTATACCCATAAAACTGCTTTTACGGCTAGGAATGTAGCCAATATTCTTCAATTACAAATATTTAACTTTGACCATGAGAGCTATAACCATTCGTGAGCCTAGGACCGATCGACAAACACCCGATAATTATTGCGTTCGTACCCCCTACTTTTTCCTTCCTCATTGTATTAAAAAATGGTCAGTCAGTTTAGGTTATATAACTCGTCGAGCTGTGTCGAATGACACCAAAATCAACCCCGGTTTCAACTTTGGGCCGAGATACAGACCCCCGAAAATTGAAAAATAAGAAGGTGGACCAAGCTTTTTTGGAAAAAGGAGTGGGGGTACGAACGCAAGAATTGCCAAACACTCTAACAAGAATCTAAAGAATATATACCCAGTTGAGCATTGTCCTGTTGAGTCAAAGAATTGTTCTTATTAGCATTAGATTTGTCCATATTGTCCTCTTCTTCTTCTACAACCAAATTAGCAGACGAAGAATTAAGTTTGGTCTCAGTTTCAGATTTGTCAAAGTCTTCTTGAATGTCTTCCTCTTCTTTAGAGTCAACGAAAGAATCAACTAAAAAATATAAAAATAAATTGTGTGTTTGTGTGTACTTTTAGTTATTAATATCAGCAAAAATAAAAGAAAACCTTTGGCCTCTTCCATATTTAAAAGGGTCAAAAAGAGAAGGTTGTTTGTTTATTAGAGAAATATGTTAAGAGATAAGAAATCACTGAAAAATATTTTTTATTAGAAAACAAACAAACAAAAAATATTTTTTTTCGTTTTAATTGTGGTTAGGAAATTGTTTGTTTTTAATTCGAAAAATAAATAAATTTCGCAAATTCGAGAAAATAAGGAGAGAAATGAGAGAGAAGTGAAGTTGTAAAGATTAAAAAAAAATTTGACTATTTTTGGTTTCGGGATGTTATAAAACTTTTATAAAACAAAAATAGTCAACTTTAAATTTTAAAAATACAAACAAATTCTCTTAAAATAAAATATGTAATGATTATTTCCAGAAAGTTACCACTATAACTGATAAAAATTTGGAATAAAATGAATTTTATAAGAGACTTTTTAGTTAAAAAACAATGAAAAATAAAAAGGAATTATTTAAGGATTTAAAAATATTAAATAAAGTTAAGCTGTTTATAGAGGGGGGACATTAATAAAAAAAAGAATTGTTTTCCAAAAATGGGTCACAGACTTTTAAAGAGAATAGATATTTTGTTAAAAAAATACGTAAATTACAAAAATGAATCAATAAAAAAGAATAAATATGTAACTCAAGCAAATCTAAAGTCATTCTTTTAATTCAGATTTTCAATTTTTCCAAAAATAACATTCTGGTATTTACCCAAATTAAAAATAACCATTTTGACATAATTTGAATAAATTGTTAATATCGAAATGTCGACAAGAGGAAAATATTTTGAATTGTCGATTTTGAAATATATTTATTTTCTTTTGTTAATTATTCTAACTATAAATGTTTGGAATAAAATCTGGATTAGATAAGATTGAAGATGTTGGATGTGGACCTGGATTAATTTTCCACGAAGCTTAAACGATGTCTTGGCCTGGGAAAGCCCAGACCCTTGCCCACAGCTAGCTTTATTTTTAGTCCAGTCTGTTTATTGGGTTTTTTTGTTTACTAACTTTTATTTTAGAAGTTTTTATAATTTTATTTTTTTTCAGTCTTTATTACAAATTTTATTTAATTCTAAAAAATAAAAAAAAATGAATAATCCAAATTCCTCAACTGGAGAAACTAGTATGACACTCGATCAATTATTGGCTAAAAATGGAATAAAAGTTGCAGATAAACAATCAACTTCAACTTCTCAAGGATCTCATGTTAATTTTTCTTTTACAGGTTTTTTTTAATTTATTTTTCCCCTCCAACTTTTAAAAACATTCAGGACAAAATGCTGGGAGAAACTTTGCACACCCTTCCGCTAATTCTGGAAATCAAGCTTCTTCAAGTGTTTGTATTGCTGGAATGATTGAATTGGCAAATCGAAGTAATATAAAATAATTATTTTATTATTAGCTATTCGGGTACTTGTGACTATGATGGTCTGATCTTTGGGTTTTTTCGAGTTTTTTGGATTTTCCCCAGTATTTTACACATCTTCAAGCTAGACAAAAAAATAAGAAAGTCTCCACTAATTCCACCTTTGTATCTGAAAAGTCTATTTGTATATAACTATTACGGGTTGTCTGGCTGGTAGGGTCTTATTAAACTTCCAATTTTTGGCAATTTTATCAATTTTTATTTTGACGTAATTCTGATTTGAACTATTAATTTAAAATAAAATATTCAAAATCTTACTAACTAATTTTCCATAATTTTAGCTATCGTCGTCTTTCGCAACAAAACATCATCTACAGCTTCACAAAATTATTTTTCTGAATGGATTCTCAAATCTTTTAATTTGCCTGAAAAATCAATTAAAGATATTTCGCAAATATCCACTGTTCAGGATTATTATGTTGTTTTTATCGTTTTGAGTGATAAGAGGTCGCTTGAAAGTATTTTGGCTATTTATCGTTCTACGACTTTTAATGCAAATCAATGTAATTTTTTAAATTTTATTTTTGAATTATCTTTTGGGTAAAACTGCGATTAATATATAGAGACCGAGAGTTTAAATGAAAGTCGGGGTTTTAATTAGTTTTCGGATCCGCTGGCTGTGCTGGATCCTGGTAGTGTTTTGAAAAAATTAAAAAAAATACAGGTAAAGCCCAACACTCTTGAGGAACAAAATGTTGATATTAAAAATAATTTTTTTAATTTTAATAATTTTTCACTCCCTAAATTAATTTTTTAATAGTCATAATCATTCCTGCAAGTGAAATTCTGATTGAAGGAACAATTGAAATGCGTCGACAACAGCAAAAACAAAATGGAGGGAAAGTCTCTAATGAAAGTGTACCTAATTTAAACACTTGCTTTTTGTCATTACTTGGTCACAATTTACCTCAAACAAGTTCTGGCCCGTCTTCTCAAAATGTAAATCAAAATAGGCAGCCACAACCTGGACAACTTGACAGCAACAGAATATTGTGGGAAAACATCGCGGCAGCGGTAGATCAGCTTCTTTTTAGGCTTGTTTTTAAATTGGGGGAATTTTCTTTGGTTTTGTTTTTTAGTTTCATTCCTTTGTTTACTGGTAGGAAAATTATAAGTGAAAAGAAGGGTTCAAAAAACGACTATTATAGGGATCTGACAAAAATGTTTTTGAATATTAGAAGGGGAAATATTTTACAATTACTTGTTTATTCGAGTAATTTTACTATTAAAGTAAATCTTTCAACTTTTATTTTATGTTCGTACTCTTCAATTCAATTTACGTATTTATTTTAGTTGAATGATCGTCATACCCCCTGAATTTTGTCTTCTATTAGAATAAATACCGTAAACGTTTTTTAAATTAGGTTTGTTAATGAGTGAAGGGAGAAGTCAACTGGTTTTTAAGATAAAAGTTGTTTAGGATATTTAATAGATACACCTCATTTAAGACCAATCAAAAATAAAAATATTTTTGTTATTTTTTTTTGGACTAAATTTATTTCTTTTTAGATGATTCCCGAATACCGACGTATTTTGGCTACGAATTCGGTGCCGTATCGCTTTTCGGATAGTTTCTCTCCTTTGTCAAATTCTCCAACAAACTCCGAACCTAATGTGCCCAAAGGTCGTTAATTACTGGTAGTAGAAAATAAATTAAAGAATGGACCAAAAAAGGATTATTTCATTAATTCTCCTCTTTATGTTTTACCTTTTTCCTCAAAAAAAATATTTTTTATATTTATTTAAATATTTAAAATTATGTATACCTTCTTCACATTTTTTTTCCTTTATTCTCGATATAAAATTTTAATGACTTCATATATTTTTTGGCTTGTTTTTGGGAATAAATAAGAGAGAATTTTTTGGATAGTAAAATGAAAAGTTAATTTTTGTTAATTTAAATATTCGGGAATCATCAGAAAATTTTTTAAATAAAGGATTAGGTGCCAAAAATGAAGTTAGAGAATTTCGTTACACGTTCAATTCAGAAAATCTGTCTCTTATTGTTTGTCGAAGTTATCTCTGTTAGGTTAATAAATCAAATATTGAAAACCATTAGGGCCCGTAGAATAAATTCGGGGTAAGGGTTATTTAACCCCTACCTTGGGGTTAAATAACCCGTAACCCGCAGAATAAATTCAAACCCCTAGCTTCGGGTTAAATGACCGGGTCAGATAACCCGGTTATCTGACCCGCGTAACCTTACCGGTAGAATAAATTAATTACCCGGGTTAAATAACCCGCAGGTAAGGGGCAAATTGCAACCCTACTAGGGGGCAGGGTAACATGCGAATTATGCATAATTTCCAAAAAATTAAAACATTTATTAAATTGCAAAATTTTTAAAAATTTTAATTTCTATTCAAAACGCATAGAAAAAATTTTTTTTAACAAACATTTTTAATTTTTTAACAAAAATTTTTTACCAAAAACTTATACAAAAATTTTTGAAACAAAATTTATTCTACAATTAAAAATTTTATTAATTTTTTAAACTTTTTCATTTGACTATATCTCTTTTTAATAATAACAATTATTGCGTAAACAATTATTGCGAAATGGGTTTGGCAATAAATATAAAGGGTCATATAACCCAGTAACTCAACTAGTTAAATAACCCTTAGCTCGGTGTTAAATAACCCTTAACTCGGGGTTGAATTTATTCTACCGATTTTAACCCGAAGCTAAGGGTTATTTGCCCCTGGGTTGTTTAACCGGGTTATTTAACCGGGTTATCCAACCCCGAATTTATTCTACGGGCCCAGAGTAGAATTGCTTGGATAACAATGCTCAGAATTAGTCTCGCCATTACTTTTGCTGGATGTTTCGTATTTTTATTTGAACTACTCTTAAATTCAATTACTATAAAAGCATGTATTCAATTTTTAAATCAAATTTAATCATCTTCGTCATTTGTGTTGAGCAGTTCCGTAATCTCTCTGATATTCTCCATCTATCAAAGGTGTTTTGTTAAATTTTTTAAATTTAAACCAGAAATTAATTTAGGTAAATAACATGGCCAGTCCGTTGTCCAATGAGTCAATTTCTCGAGTGAAGGATATGATGAATCTTCCAAAGGAGGAATTGTTTGCAAAGCTTCAGAGTGAGCCGTTGTCGTTTTTCAAGAATCTCAAAGAACTTCCTGATGAATATGCCACAGTTGTCTATGAGGTGGGGGGATATTTTGACGGATGAGTAATTCAATTGATCAACACAAAAATGGAAAGGAAGTAGGGAATGAATTGAGTCAAAGTGTTGGTCAATTGGATTTACCTAAATATTTTCTTTTTTAATTTCCAATTTATTTTTAGGCTTTTGCTACGCATTGGGATAGAATCGACAAAAAGATTGTGAATGTTTGAATTATTTAATTTCTCTCGAAAAAATTTTATTTTCTAGGCGCAATCTGTAATGGATTCTCTCACTCCTCGTTGCAAAGGCAGAGAAGCCTATGACTATATTGAACCGCTCGTTGATTTGGTTAATAAAACAACTGTGGGGCTTGAAATTAAAGATGATAATGAGGCAAGAAGAATTTGTCCCCTCTTTTTTTTGTTAATTTTTTCTTTTCTTTTAAGGATAGAAAAATTCTTTTTGGACATCGACTTGTGATTGAAGCTAAACTTATTGCGGAAATCGACCATGTTTTGGATATTGCTTTGAAAATTAGCGAGAATTTGGATCCGAATAATGTTAGCGAGGATGATGGAGACAATAAAATTGGGGTGAGTTTTGAGGAAAATATTGGGGGGATTTGTTGTGGGAATCTTGCAAGTTAAGAAACGGGAATTGACTTTAAAAGGGGGGAACCTAAAAAACTTAAACTTTAAGTTGAATAATAATTTTTTGTTTAGAGTTTGCGCGCTGATTCGTTGTATTTGAGCGATGTTTTCTTCGATGTTAGTGAGAAGTATCTCAAGTCGTATTTGGGGTTGCCTTGGTAAATATGTAATGGACTATGTATAAATATTGTAAATAATCGGTGAATTTCAACAGAATCTGAGTCAAAATTAAAATTTTAATTCATTCAATTGTGTAGTTTTTTGTTGTATTTATTGTGTGTAAATAATTGTAGATAAAATAATATATTTATATTTTTAATTGTTTCAAAAATACTATGAAATAATTTTAGGTCCACATAAATAAACTTAAAACACTATAAATTTTGTAGTAAAAAATATTTCCAAAAAATTAATTTTTAATCTTTATTAGTTAAATTTAAACTTGTTGTTATTTCCCCCAAGGTCAATAAAACACCCTCTTCTTTTAATTAATTTCTTTGGGGTTTTTTCGTTCCATGTAAAAGGAGTAGATATAATTATTTTTTACACACAAAAATTTCTCTAAAATTTAATTCTTGAAAAATTTTGGGAGAGAAATAAATAAATGTAGGAGGTAGTTAGTATTTAGTGTTGCGCTCTTTCCTCCTCCTTCAATAAATTCTAAGGGCACATTACGGCGCCTAACTGTTAGGGAGCAAGTTTAAATATTGCTGCGCAATACCACCTACGCGTCTTTGAGGGTCTCATTCTTCTTTCCAAGTTGATCAAAACTTTTTTTTTCTAATTTTTATTTATTTATTAAGAATAACCAATTTCGGAGACCGGTTCTATTTTATATTTTATTTTCTCGGCCATTTTTTCCCAATTTTTGTGTATTTTTATTTACCTTTTTCTTTTTTTTTCTTTCGAAATTGTGGTTTTTTATTTTTATTTTTTTTTAAATTAAAGTTGCGTTTGGGTGGGAAATTGAATAAATTATAAGCATAACAATGAAATTAAGGAAATAAAATTTAAGATGCGTTAAAGGAAAGGAGAACAGAATTATTTTTAGAGAAAAATAATTTATAAGTTAAAAAAAGAATCCACGTTAACAATTTCGATTATAAATATGTAAATATGTAGTGATTTTGGCTTTTGTCCAGTTTACGCGTTCAAACAAATTTTTATATGTCCGGGGAGCAGGCCAACCTACCGCGAGGCAAACCTACCGCCGAGCTATAACTTCGTTCATAATTGTCGAATCCGGGACGCCCTGGTATGGTTCGATTCAGCTCGTCGAGGCATCGAACCATAACAAGGCGTCCCGGATTTGATAATTTGGAACGAAGTTATAGCTCGGCGATAGGTTGGCCTCGCGGTAGGTTGGGGTGTACCAGTTATTAAGTACTAAAATTTTGCTCGTATCTGGAACATTACCCCTCTTTTTTGCGATCAAAATTACATATTCTTCAATTTCACAGATTTATAAATTAATTTATTAAATGACCTCTTCTTTGCAAACGAATTGCCTAAATATCAGCAAAGTATGGTCTGATAAAAGAGAAATTGTAAGAAAAATTAAATATTAGCAGGGGGTTGCTCTCCGAATTTAGTTACTCAAAAACAATATTTTCTTGACTTCCTATTGAACATTCCCTCTTCCAAAAAACGAACAGAGACACAAATACATATCAGGGGTGTGCCAGTTTTGCGTTTCGCTTTTCGCGTATTTTCGCGTTTTTTGGACTTACATATTCTCGTGTTTCGCGTTTCATTTTTAAATTTAATTTCGCCTTTCGCGTTTTGCGTTCCTCTTTTTAAAATGTTTCGGCACACCCCTGATACCTATGAATAAGTGGAACTTTTACAATAAAAACTTTTCAATTCAATGAGCAACCCCCAAATCCTCTTTTTATTTTCTTGTTTATTCACACTTTTTTCTAAAAATAAGAATTGCATAGAACATCAGGGATCGAACAATTCGTTTTTACCATGGATGGATGACTCTTCCATTTACAATTATTGCTATACCTTTAACTTTGCTTTTTATAACTGCCAATATCCGTGCAATTAAAGCCCACAGAGTCAGCAGAAAATTTCACGTTCTTTTGGTGAATAGAGCAATTGGGGATTTGTCGGCAATTATTTGTTCTCTTATTTCAATTATTTATGTTTTGGCTGTTGAACATGTAAAGTATGTAAATATTTGAAGAGATTTTGGGAAATTTGAAAAAATATCCTTTCCAATTAGAGAGAAATATACTTATATTTAACAAGTGAAAAGGGATTTTAACTCTGAGCATATAATAATCCTTAATTTCTTATAGAATAGTTGAATGTAGGAACGGGAAAATCTCTCTCTTAAAAATCTCTCCCTCTCCTTCTCTCCTCTCTTAAATAAACTTTCAACCAAATTTTTATTTTTACTTAAAAGTCCTTCTTGGCTAACATTATTAAATACTTTATTTACTGCTTGTTTTTGGTCTGGATTAGTTACATATACATCTATTGGTTTATTGAAATTATATGGAATTGCAGAACCTCTTAAATACAAGAAAAAAGTAACTATGGAAAGGTAGAGAGAATTAAATATTTGGAAATTAATTTAAGAGAAATTTACATTCCAAAAATCAATTTTTAAAATCTAAAAATTTGAAAATTAATTTTGAAATTCGAGTATTAAATCGGCGATCAAAAACTTTTTCTTTTATCGAATAACCCCCTCCCACACAAAACCCCCAAAAATTAGTTATTAAATTAATTAATTCGCTTTGCCTTCTTTTTTGCCTTTTTTTCTTGATTGACTTTTATATTTGACTTTCATAATTTAACCAACGATGTAAGTGGATTCCCTTTCGTTGGATTTTTTATATTTTTGAATAAATAAATAAAATTTAATTTTTACGTAATTAATTTAGTTAACTGTGTAAAAAAAGATTAAATTATTTCTATTTTAGATGTGTTTCTCTAATCAAAATCAGGTTGGGAATTACTTTAAAATTATTGTTTTGATTTTAAAATTAAATTAAAATAGATTTTAAAAATTAAAAAAAATTAAAGGAGGAAAATAATTATGACTAGTGCCCGGCGACGAACTGAATCCGGTCGGATTTTTCCGTAGTCCGGGTCCCAAATCCGGGTTTTTTGCGATTTCCAGAATTTTTCCGGACCGGATTAATCCGGAAAAATTCGACCGGATCCGGTCCTGCTCAGTTGCAAATCCGGTCTGGAAAAATCGATTTTGCCGGACACTAATGATGACAAATAAAATTTTAATATTTTTAACTTTTTTTTAAATAATTTTTTAAATTTAATTGAAAATTAAATTTAATCTTCATTTAAAGTTGGATAGTTTTTATTTTAATTTTTGGTGCAACAATGGGATTTACAATACTTGTAAAAATAGAAATACTTGCTGAATTAACTGGCTGTAAAGTATTTCTTCAATTAAATTAATTTAAAGAAAAAATATCAATTTTTAGGTAGAGAATTGTTTAACATATATGTATAAAGTTAGGAATGTTTTGACTCTTCTTTTGTATTTTACTACAATTTTAACTTTTATTATTTCGGGTAATTTAATTAATTAATTTAAAATTAAATTTATTTTTTAAAAAGTTTTTTTAATTAAAAAAGCCAAGGAAAGAGCAAAAACTTTAAATGCTGACAATACAACTAGACAACAAAGAAGTGTTCGGAAACGGTTTAAATTTCCAATGATTAAGGTAAAGAAAATATCAGAATTAATTTTTTATTTATTCTGATTTTTAAATAATAAATTAATTCCCTCTTCCTCCCCCTCCCTAGCTAACATTGGGTGTAACAACATTTACAATTTTTCATTTTCCTTATGCAATTTGGAATGTTGCTTTAACATTTGCCGATGGATGTTATTTTGTTTTACATTATAATAAAATGCAGTCTTTGTTGGGAATTATTAGATCAATTGTTCTTTTGAGAATTATTGTTGATTCTTTTTTGGGATTTTTTATGGACAAAGAGGTAAAGAAATAAATAGAAGGGGCTGGTAAAGATTCCTCTGAGTCTAGGAAATAAAAAACAATCCAGTCAAAAGACTGGGATGGTTAATTAAATATACCCAATCAATCTAGTATTGAACCAAGTCTTACAGAGTCTATTTTGTAGTACAAAGTCAGTGTCAGTCTAATGGGTATATTAGCCCGGCTAGTCCCTAACCTCCTTCAGGAACCCCCCACTTTCGCCTACATTGTACTTTCCTTGAATAAACGGTTATTTATGTCGACATCGGTAACCCTCGGACATAACAAAGTCCCTTCCAATCTTTTTCTATTTTCTGGGATAGATTCGGATGCTTTACCTAAATAAATATTTTTTAACTTCTTTTAAAGATTCGGCACCAATTATTTACTTTACTACACCTTCACCGTATAGGGATAACTACTTCAGAATTATTCAGTCCAACCACAACAGTTAAATTATCCACAACAACAAATTCAATAATAATTTCCTCAGAATCAACCCCTGACAGTTTTGACACAGTAACAAATTTGGACGAAAAATTAAAATCATTAAAAGAACAAAAAAGGACTGTCTCGGCCAGAATTTCTTCAGAAAAAGTTTTAAATAGTCAGCACAGAAGGTGTTCTGATAAATCAGAATATGCAAATACTAAAAAAGTTAAATTCTGATTTTTGTGGGAAATATAGAAATTCTGATAATAATTATTTTTGATATTCTGAAATTTTCAGAATTATATATGTATGTCTTCATTTCTATTCTGAAGCTCTAAATTGTCCATTCTGAAATAATAAATTTAAAATAATTATTTTTTAATTATATTTATTCACGTATTTATTTAATCTATATTTTAATCTTTTTTCTACATATTAAATTATAGTACAAATTATTTTTAAATCTTTTGCCACAATCAGGCCTCACTATAGCACACGCTTTACTTGTCATATAATTAAGTGGATTTTAAATGCCCCCCCCCCCCACCTAAAACGGGGCACCCCCTTTATCGTTTAAATATTTTTCCTGTTGGCTAACTAAATTAAAAAAACAAGTCTTAAATTAAGGCATATCAAGTATTGAGTGTAATCTTATAGTGAAAGTCAATTAGACCGACTAGGAGTGTCTTGCGAGATATCTAGAAAAATCTTTATCTCAATAGTAATCGAGATTTTCGTTTGAGATTTTGTCTTGATCCGGTCTTTAGAGTCATTCAATTGTATATTTATTTCTGTTAATTTTCTTTTAAAAATGATTTTTTAGTTATTTATTGCTCAATTTAAAAAATAAAATTATTAATTCAAAATATTTTTTTAATTTTTTTGAAATAAAAATTTTAATTTAGAAAATTTATTTATTCCCAAAGTTTTATAAAAAAATTTTTTTAATTGGAAAAGGTAAATCCTTTTGTTTGTTTTGGTGAGATAAGGAAATTATTTTATAATTATTTTAAGTAGAATAGGATATTTCTTTTTGCTATTTTTGGATATGAAAAAGTTCCCATCCAGGGCACTATTAAGATATTTATAAAATATATTGAAGTTTTGCATTCTATCAACTCAAAGAATTAAATTAGTTTTGCATTATTGAGGAATTCTGAATCATAAATATGTCGTAAGCTTTGGTGTAGTTGATCTTGGAACTGAAAATCTATGGCAGAGTCAAGAAGCAAGAATTTTTGCTATATTATTATCAAATGTGGCGAGATGCTAGTTTGCAGTAGACTAAGGGTTTGAATCCGGATTAGAATAAAAGTCCGAATATTCTAAATTTTCTGCTCGATATCGTTTCTGGTCCGAAGATTTTGAAGTATTATCTTTTGGGAGATTATAACTTTAAATTGTGTATTACATATACTTTTAAAGTGCCATTCAACTACTGAAAACTTTTTCTGGGATTATGCACAAATAAATGGTTGAAAACATACAAAATTTGAACAAGAAATGATTTAAATTATAAAATTATTTTCTGTTAATTCCTTTTATTCTCTTCGCAATAAATCAACAAAATCGGCCCTCTTGAAGTAGTATACATCGCTAGTTCAATCTGCTATGCCGTTTTTTGCTTATTTTGCCTTTGAAAAAACCAAATGTTGTAATATAGCCTCAACTTTAAAAAATTTTTAAAAAGTTTTTAAAGGCAAATAAATATGTAGAGACAAAGATTAAAAAATTATCTGCTTGAGAAAAATAATAAAAAAAATTATTTAAAAATGTTTTTTATTTAAAAAAGGGGTCATTCATATTTATTATATAAAATCTAAGCTTTAATGCCCATTTTTTAATGTGGTTAGTTAGTTTGTGGGAAGAGAGCTACTTAAATATAAAAATCTGAAATATTTATAATTAATTCAAAAATTATTTTTATCAGAATTTAAAAATGATAAGACCTAATAATCGCGATAATCAACTTCCATTGGAATTGATATTCAGTATAATTCCATTTATTAATCTATATCCAATAGAAGTATTGGATCAAATGGAAATTGACAAAAAACGTTCGATTTTTAAGAGAATTTGCGGAGCATGGTCTATTTTCTATATACGTGGCCATTCTTTATTGATGAGACAGGTTTGTTTAAAATAATGAAAAATGGAGGGAGATAGGATAACCTCTGATAAAACAATGACCTAGCAAGTACCCAAAATATTATTCAATCACCTGTGGTGATTGAATTTACTTGAATCAAAATGATATTTGTTTTCTGAATTTTTTAATCAGATCAGTCGAGTACCTTTTGGGTTCCAAATAATATAGTTTAAATATTTTTAGAGAATTTTAATGGAAAATGCCAATGCTCTCGTTGACCCAACAATTTATCCTCTATGGTCTTTGTGTTATTTTATAATTGGCTTTTTTTTTTTTTTTTTCTTTATCGAACACAAATAAATAAGTGTGAAACAATAAAATAAAACTCCTGGATCCACAGGGATCACTTATGGAGAGGTAACGTACAATAAAAAAAACAAATAAAATATGACGGTTTTTAAAAAAATTGTTAAGTTGTAAAAAAAAATAAATAATGGACTCCACAGAAAAAATAAATTAAATGTATAAAATTAAATGCCATAAAAAAATATATAGGTATGTATATTTGGGTATAAAAAATATTTGTATTAAAACTAATTTTATTTAAATGTTGAGTAAATTTGTTTAGGTAAGAAAGTGAACATTTGGGTTAGGATTTTATGTTAATACACTCCATTAATTCATACTCATAAATTATAATCTTCTGTGGTTAATATTTTGTCTAAAAATTTTTTAAATTGCGGTATATTACTGATTTTTTCAATTTCTTTTTTTGGAAGTTTATTCCACCTATCTATGACTCTATGTGAAAAGAAATGATTATTTTTGGCTTGCTTTTTGAATAGCTGATATTTATGTAAGCGCGGATTAATTCTATTAGGTTTTGAAAATATTTTTTCTGGATTTATTTTATAGAAACCCATGATTATTTTGTAGGTTGTCATAAGATCAGTTTTTATACGACGGAGATTGGAGGGAAGGAGTTTGCATCTTTTTAGTCTTTCGTTATATTCTATTTTCTGGTATTTGTATTTATATCTTAAAATTCTCCTTGTAAAGCTTTTTTGTGGTCTTTCTAATTGTTTATTAAGATATTCTAATTTGGGGCTAAAATTTTCGGTGGAATACTCCATAATGGGTCTTACGTATGTTTTGAATGCTTTTACATATGTTTCTATTGGTAATGTTTTTGGTAATATTCTTAGGATATTGTTTATTCTTATAAATGAGGATTTGGTAATTTTTGATATATGATGATCAAACTTTAGCTTGTTATCTATGTATATACCTAGATCTCTTATGTTATTAACCTCTTCGATTTTTTTACCATTTATCTCATAATTAAACCTAATTTTATTGTATATTTTTAAAACCTTTACTTTTGCTATAGAGAATTTAAGTTGATTCATTTCTGACCATTTACATGCATTGTCTATAGCCCCCTGTAACTCTATACAGTTCTTTTCCGTCTTAATTTCTGAATAAATCTTAAAATCGTCCGCATAAAGTTTTACTTTAACATTTTGTGGAATATATTTTGGAAGGTCATTTATATAAATTAAGAAAAGTAATGGACCTAAGACTGTCCCTTGTGGGACTCCTGTTTTTGGGATAAATGGTTCGGAAAAATGTTCTTCTATTTTTACACTATGTGATCGATTTGAGAGAAAATTCGCAACCCATTGAATTATTAACCTATCTATTTTTAATTCTTTCATTTTTCTAATAAGTATTTCGTGGTTTACTTTATCAAAGGCTTTCTCAAAGTCAAAATATATAACATCTGTACCTATTTTCCTGTCAAGTGAACTATACCAGTCTTGCATCGATGATAAGATTTGAATTGTACAAGAGCTTTTCGGTAAAAATCCAAATTGCTCTTCTGCGATTAATTTTTGTTTGTTAAGGTGTTCTAAGATATTATTTGCTATAATACGCTCAAAAACTCTACAAGTCGGGGATGTTAAAGCAATTGGTCTGTAATTTTTTGGGTCGTTTACCGAACCCTTCTTTTTAAATATCGGTAGAATGTGAGCTGTTTTCCATAATTCAGGGACTATTCCTGTTTTAAATGTATTTTTATATAAAATTGAGAGAGGGAGAGCTAAGGGGGTAGCACATTTTTTTAGGAAATATTGGTTGATATTCTCGGGACTATGGGATAATTTATTTGGGAGCTTTTTTAGTAGTTTTTCTATTATATATGGTTCAAAAGTTATTTCTTCTTGATATTCGTCCTCAGCTACGAGGCTTGCTTGTATATTGTTTTTACCTCCACTAACTATTTCTTCAAAAATATTTCTAAATTTATTTGCTTTGTCTGTGTCGGATATTATGGGGTCGCCTTCCTCAGATTCCTTAAGTATAGGTATACCAGAGAAGTTAAATCGATTTCTTTTCATTAATTTATGTATTTCCCCTATGTGTCCAGATCCTATTTTTTTCGATAGATAGTTGTTTTTATATTTTCCTATTTGTAATTTACATTTAATTTCAAGACTTTTATAATTCTCTTTACTAATTTCCCCTAATTTTAGCTTTTTCCATGCATCAGCTTTTTGTTTGATTATTTCTCTAATCTCTTTAGGGTATTTCATGGGTGTTTTCTCACCAAATTTTTTAATAGGGATGAATTTTTGAATTACTTGGGTTATTATTGAATTCAGTATTTCGGCCATTTCTGAGGGGTTTTTTTTATTAAGTATATTGTTCCAGTTATATTGAGCTAGGTACCAATTTATTGTTTTATATTTCCCTTTCTTAAATAAAAATACGTTTCTTTTCTTTTTAGATGTTATTTTTTCGAATGGAAAAATTAATTCAAATACTATCGGTTTGTGGTCACTCAAAACCAAATTTTCTATAATTTCGTATTTTTCTATTAATTGGTTATTTTGTAAGATAAGGTCTAGTGTATGGGAAGTATTATACATGGTTGCCTCTTTTATTATCTGATTTAAATTTAGCTTGTTCATGGTATTGTAGAAATATAAGTTTTGATTATCTTTCTGAAGTGTAAAATCCTGCCAATTTATTTTGGGAAGGTTAAAATCCCCTAATATAATATTTGATAGATCATTTTTATATTTTTTCTTTATTAATTCCCAAAATTTTTTATCATCAACTAATTTTGTATTTGGCGGCCTAT